ATATATATATATATATATATATATATATATATATATATATATATCTCAGTGAGTCCAGTTATAAGCTGGAAACAGCAAGGTCTGCCTCTTAAAACTACTGGGAGACAACACAATGGCATGGTGGAAACTCTGCAAAAAACCTGGTGCCTTGTGGGTACTCATTCAATTTGGTGTTTCTTATTTCCATGTTAGGTATTGATTCCCTTGTGAGTGATCACACAAAATTACTTAAATAATAATAAAAAAACCTTTTATTTGTATAGTTCTTGAACCAGATCAGGTTGAAATTCTACCCATTTTATTTTACGTGTGTGTGTGTGTGTGTGTGTGTGTGTGTGTGTGTGTGTGTGTGTAATGTATATATGGAGGCCAAAGAACAACTCAGGGATTGTTCTTCCTTAAGCACATATAGCTTGTATGTTTTCTTTGAGATGTGGTCAACTAGTTTTGGGCTTGCTAGTTAGGCCATGCTGGGTGGCTAGTCAGTTCTAGGGATCTTCCTGTCCCTGCTTCCCCAGTGTTGGGATTACAAGCACACAGTAGGCATGGCTTTTTTGCATAGGTCCTGGGGACTGAACTTGGATCCTCATGCTTGTATGGCAGCACTTTATGCAGAGCTATCTACACAACCCTCTTGCGTTTTTCAGTATTAGCTGTGTGACTTTGAGGCAGTTACTTAAGCAGCCTGTGTTTTATTTTCCTGCTTTAAAAAGGGGACAATAATAGGGACTGCCTTGTATGGTGCTATGAAGATTAAATGAGTTTAGATTTGAAATGCACCGGAGACGAAGCCTGGCACATATTCAGTACCATATAAAGGGTTGTGAAATAGAATACAAATCATACTGGCCTTTCAAAATAGATTATGAGAACAAAAAAAAAGCACCTTTACTTTCTGCTCTGAGACTGGGAAGTGGTGCTCTCATTTTCAGCTCTGCAAAGGCCTGGCTAGCCCCTGGGAGTCAGCCCATGCCTCTGGCCCTGGGCCTAGAGATCAAAAGTCAGATTCATAAGAAATACACAGCAGAGCCAGGGATGGTGGGGGTGACCATGCAGTGGCAAGAAGAAAAGGAAGGCACCACAGTTGCTTTAGATTGCAACAAATACAAGGATAGTGATTTCACATGGATTTGCCAATGAAGTAATAACCTTAACCCTTTGACATTAGAGCTACAGAATAAATCATGTTGGGTTAAATAACACAGCCTTGCTGATAACTATGAAGGGAGCAGAAGGCTACCTCTCTGTGGTAGAAAACAATTCCCCATAGTTCACAAAGTGTCTCACAAGGATGCTAACAGATTGCTTTCCTGTGGAGAGAAGAGATTGGCCAGCAGTGGGAAAGTTCGTGGGAGGCTTTAGGGGACAACAGGACACATAAGATCCAGACCCAAGGTTGATATTCAGCCAGTGTCCCTGTGCAGCAAGCTTCCTTGTCTGTTCTGACTGCTCCTATCCATGCCATATTTGCTATTTAATACTTGTAAATATAACTTCTGTTTGGGACCATGGCAACTTGGTTATGATGGGATTATTTCCATGTAGTGGGAGATAATTAGTTGAAGCCTAAGATGCTACAAAGGTAATATCTATTTGCCTTGCCACGTACCCTCCCAACAGTATTGGTTGCCAAGTAACCACTCAGTGTTTGAACTTTGACCCACGTTAGTAGCCATCACTTAACCTTTCTTTGTTATTTGCACAGTTCGTTCAGACGTAGATGATGTTTAGTTCAGTTCAGTGGGCAATTAAGATGGTTGTGTGTAGTTGGGTATTGTCTGAAGCAATGAGGATATCATAATATATCTTTGCCTTTCTGAAAATTATGAATTAAAAAAATTCAAACCACATACTCACTAATCGGGTTTCCCACTTCAGGATGTGAAGAATGTAATGAAGACAGTGTGGAAAACAGGGATAGTTTCTGCGTGCTGTGGAACATGAATGGAGGCTAAGCCAGGAGCACCAGAGCTTCCGAGGTGCAAAGGGCAGAAGCAGCAGGAAATAAACCCGTGGAGACGCTTTGCTAATGAACACAGGGACTCCGGAGGAGTCGTGTTAGAGAGCCAAGGCGCTGTCAAATTCCACAAGACCCGTGGCTTAGGAGAGTTTAGGGAAGGTATGGATCACAAGCTTGGGGTGGTTTAGGAAACCCAACGAGGGACAGTACAGCACCTGTGGGCAGCCGTCAGGCAATTCTCCTCACCCCAGGCCTGAAGCAAAAGGGAGAAGAGGCAATGGCAAGGACTTGGAGAAGGGTTCAGTTTGACTTGGTTGAAAATCTCCCTCACAGAACAGTGTGAGATGGGCGCTGGTGTCTAACTGTCTCAGCGCACTCTCCCTTTCCATGTATTATTCTAAGGTGTGTTCTACACTTGTTCCCAGTGGCACTTAGAGCCACTAGGTGGGTAGCTCGATAATGCACCCTTCATTGGTAGCCTATCACAAAACCGGAAGTGAGACTCAAACTCCTGGAGAGGGGAGTAGCATGGGGAGGGATGCCAGCCAGGGGTTTTGGCCAATTTCCTGTTCTCTGTGAAGGAAGGAGCTGAAGCATAATGATCCTGTTACTCCAATCAGACACTCCAGCTATTGCATCTCTTTTCCTAGGGGCTTTCTCCAAAGCCTTACTCCCCAGGAAGGCAAAGTGCTGGAGAATTAGCATTAATCCTTCATCGGCATGTCTCCCAGTGGTGTCTGACACTCCTGTGTGATATCCTTCCTCTACGTGGGGGCTTACTGAATCACTTTAATGAATAAAATATGCATGGAATAATGGGATTTTGCTTGCAAGTTCCCATTGTAAGAAGACTGTGGCTATCATCTTGGGCATGTTCTCTTTTGCTTACTCAGCCAGTCCCTCTGAGAGATGTGGCCATCAGCTGGTCCATGGAGGGACACGGATGTGACGGGGCCAAGAGCCAGTGAGGTACTGAATCCAGTGACAACCACTCAAGTGAGCTCAAGAATATACCTTCTCCCAGCGGAGCCTTTCTGTGACACTGCAGCCAGGATGACAGTTTGGCTGCCACCTTGTAAAAGCCATGAACTATACTCTGCCCAGACTTCAGATCTTCAGGAATTGTGAGTTAACACTATGTGTGTGTTATTTTTAAGCTACCGAGTTTTGGGAACATTTATTCCCCGGCAACAGATACTTCTTATTCTGTTTGTCTTCCCTGCGATCAAAATGGCATCTCCATTTTCCAAATCAGCCACTTGCCCTTGACTCTCTGAGTCCAGGTCTGTTTCTTTGGGAGGCTCACAGCAAGCAAACACACAAAGGAATGGAGGCCCAGGGAAGGGAGGGAATTTTGAGGCAGTGATAGAGACAGGGTCTTGGACATGGTAAGTGTTGAGTCTGTCCCCTGAGTAGTGTGTGAAATGACTGTGACAAGTAGGACTTCTGGGCTTGGCATCTGAGGACCTGGCTCTAGCGTAGCCCTGCTGGTTTTTCTGGGTTGGAGATTCAGGTAATTAATACTGCAGGCAGGAGGTTTTCTCACCTGAGGAATTAAACAAACAGCTCAGACCTGGGCAAGGTTAACTGAGTTTCAATACGGTGACTTTGGGGCAGGCAACTTCTTTCAAACATCAATGAATCTCACGGGGCTAAGTGGCTGTAGGTGCCCCAAATTACTGCTCACAATGTGGCATAACCCTTGGGTGGTGTGCCATGCTGCCACCATGCTGTGGACTTCTAGGGCCCAAGAGCCACCTCAGTGAGCTCTTTTCTTCACTCTGGCTGCTGACTCTTGAAAAGTTAGATGAGCAGGCTGCAGCGCAGGCCAGTACACACTCCAACAGAAGCATTGTGTCTCAAGGTCCTTTTAAAATAATCCTATTTGAGATGTTTATATACAAACCAAGGAAAGAATAAGTGTATTATGTTCCGAGTGGAAAGTGCTCATAAATAAAAAGGCACTCCATTTATCGCCCATTTCCAAGGCTGCTCCATAGGCTATGGCAGCAAGAACAGGGCCTGAGCAAGGTGGGAATAGCTAGATGGGCTTTTTTTTTGTTTTTTTTTTTTTTTGGGGGGGGGGGCGTCTGTCAATCAAGCTTGCTTAGGGAAACATCATGCCTTCTGCTGCAGATTCAGAGCCAGCAGAGTTCTAGGAGTTTCTCTGCAGCACAGCTTATCTTCCATGTCAATGGGGTCTGGCTACCTCCAGCAGATGGCGGATCCACTTTAGGAAAATCACTTTTTCTTTGTAATCAAGGCTTATAACATGTTTCAGTGAATGCTTCAAAATCACTTGTAATCATTGTTGAGAGCCTGCGGAGGCGGGCTTTGCGTGCAGTGTGGTGCACCACCCACCCACACGAACTCGGCTTCCCCCCACCACACAGCCACACACTTCACAGGTTGTCATTGACTGTTGTCTAGTTGGATCAGTCTCCACACAATTTCAATCCCCGCCCCCACTCCCCAGCTTCTCCATTATTGCATTAGGAAGGTCCGTTGTGAGAGGCAAGTAATGCATACACTCATGAACCTGGGCTATGCTCCAAGCACAATGTTGAAAACTCCACCTTCATGACCTCACTGTATACCCAAGAGTCCCAAGAGGTGAGGACCACCATATTCCCATTTGACAGGTGAGAAAACTTCCTAAGCTCAGAGAGGCAGATGCATACTGGAAAAGGAATCCCAACCATTGTTGACTAATGCTGTGGTTGTGCCTCCCAGTGACTCATTAGTTATCATAAATATTCTTGGAGAAGCACATCACCATATTGCATTTCCTGACTTTCACCAATTTTCTCAATGTCCTAGCAACACATGTATAGCTCACTAAGGAATTCGATTGATACTGAACACATTCCCACTGTTTACTTGCCTGCGTGGGAAGCAGGCATTCCTTCTGCTCCAGCTCCAACCTACTCATGTTATTTGCTTTGTTCAGTGGGATAGAGCCTGGGTACCACTTGGACTGAGACCTGAGGTGTGCTTGCAGTGCAGTTTGCCTTTCTGGGTTGCCAGCCCTCACCATAAAAAGAACATACATTGGCATCTGCTGGACTAAGGGAGATGAGAGACATTTAAAGTGAACCTTGATGCAGCTCACTTTGGGAGCCAAGCCTGGTGGACCCACATCTTCTGGTCCCAGTAGATATTGCAGTCGAGTGGACAAGAAGACAATGTTTACTGTTGTTATTTGCTCTCGTACTCCTGCGTATTTGTTATGCAGCAAAAGCTGATGGATATGAGAAGCATAATTCCAAAACACACCCAAAAATCTTTGTTAAGCCTCCAAGGAGTGTCCTGTCCACCCAAGCATTCATTATACAGCTAGTGTGTGCCAGCAGTTGTAAGTATTGTCTGCATCAATTTATTGCTGTCATAACAAAGTCCCACACATGTAGCAGCTTCGAATGACACACACACACAGCATCTCATAGTTCTCTGGAGCATATGTCTGCAGACAGCATGGTTCTGCTGAATCTCTGCAGAGAACTCCTTAAGGCTGAAATCAGGGTGTCAGCAGGGCTGTGATCCCTTCTGGAAGCCCTGGTCGGGGGTTGGGGAACAAGTCCACTTTTAAGGTCCTGCAGCATGTCTTCAGAATTCAGCTCTTGCAAGGGGAGTCCTGAGGTTGCTGTCCTCACAGGCTGTCAGCCGAGGGCTGGTCTTTGGCATTCCATGAGGACCCTTCTAGTTACAGTGGGTGGAGTTCCATGCATGCTTTAATCCTTCCAACTTCCCTTCTGCTGCAGCTCTGTAAGGTCATTGAGCTTAGCAAGACTGATCTGGACACATCTCTGACAACAGTATTCTGTAAGTTAGGTCAGTCTGTTGTAATACATCAACCAAGGGAATGAAGGCCTATTGGGGAAAGATCTAGGGAAGAAAAACAACAGAGGGAATGTGGTAGACATGAGGAAAGTGGTTCTAGAGAGAGAGGTGCTAACTTTGCTGCCCATCACTGAGAATCTACAAAGCATGAAGGTTAAGCTTGACTTCTTCATGAGTTCCACTAAGAGAAACAGAGGTCCCAACCTGGCTTCAAGGTGCCTAAAGTCATGTCTAACTGTGTTGTATCTGCCTGGTGTGCCAGCTCCGTGATTGTTGTGGTCGCAGAACTGGATTTGAACTGAAGACCTATTATGCTTAAGTCAGTTCTTTGCTCAGCAGCTCTGTGGTTCTGAGAAAGGTTGAGACTCATCTTCTTTACCTGAAAAGGAGGGTGTTTTTCCCAGAACAGGGCTTCTCTGTGTTGCCCTTGGCTGTCCCAGAACTCACTCTGTAGATCAGACTGGCCTCGAACTTACAGCAATCCACTTACCTCTGCCTTCTGAGTGGGGATATGGTTCTTTTCCTGCCTACTTCCTAGACTCCTTGGATATAGCAAACATGATATGAAGTAAAAATGCATGGCAAATGTCTATGCAAAGTGGACATCACATTTTCCTTACACGGAGGCTGCATGGCTGAATGTGTCCATCAGGTAGCTCTTAGGGAAAGGGTGACTTCCTTTACCCTGATGGAAGGGAGCTAGAATTACCACTCTCTGTTGTCTAAAATATGACACACATGGGTCATATTTGTGACCTGGAGGAGGCTTTCTCCCTAGCTAGGCAGAGCTGGCATCTGTCAGTCAGGACAGAACTGCCAATCCCTGTCTGTTTGTCTCCATTTCAGAGTCAGGGAACCCTAGACATTATCCAAAGATATTTGTCTGTAGGCTGTGAGGTATGTGGGAAATACACAGGGGTTAGAGTTCAAATGAGCCAAATGCACAGAGCTAGAGAATAAAATGATGGCCACCTGGGAGGAAGGGAAGGAATGAGGGGGAGAGAGCTCACCGAAGTTATAGCTATGCAGAGTAAACAAGTCTTCAGGTGGTGTGTAACAGGAGATCAGTGGTCAATAATGCTCCATTATATTTGAGATTTTGGCTAGAACAGTGGAGGTTAGGTACTCTTGCCTCACCTAAGAAAAGGGCAACCACATGAAATGATAGCTATGTTATCTTTCTCTATCAGCCAGCCATTTCACTCTATGTACCCCCAAATAGTGGATCACATACCTTAAACTGAGGCAATGATATGAATAAAGTAGACTAGGATACCACGGCCTCCATGTGGCTGTGTCCTGCTTGGTGAGGCAAAAAGAGCCCTGGAGAGGAGCCCAAGCAAGATGCTGCCAGCTCTGCGGTTAGCTCATGGGCTCTGGACCTGGCTGCCTAGATCCCATGCTGCCTCCCCAGCTTGGTGACCTTGGGTGTGTTTGTCTAAGTTTACTCAACCCTAAAATAGGCATAGTCATGGTCAATACCCCATGTAGCTGATGAAACAGTCATGGGAGGAACTGTCATGGATTTGCTCAAGCCTCTTTGAGATTCTTTGTCTATCTGTCATTTGCAGGTTCTCCAGGATGTTTAAGAATGTTGTATCCCGTTCCCTAGAGCAGCTGTAATTTTCTCCGTGCAAGGATTCTTCTGACCACAGAAGGATGCTGAGCCCTGCAAGGGGCATTTAAAAGTGCCAGGCCATTCACTTTCTAGAAATGACTGCTAACAATAGAATTGGGAGTTGGCCTGTAAACCCCCTGCATCCCCACACTCCGTGGGATAATTCTCATTATGAACATAGAACTTCAAAGGGTCCCCAGTTTCCCCCAGGGGAGACTGTTCATTCTGGCACCTTTGGTCTCTTTCCTGTCTCATCTAAGGTACTTCCTAGGATCACACCTCACAGGAACTCCTGCTGTCACATCTTTGTTCCAAGATCTGGTTTGCAGAAGCCCAACTGAGATGGGGCTTAGAACCAAGCCTATGGGAAGCATTCAGCAAATAGTATTTATGACTGTGTTTTTGTAGTGTCAGCTCTTCTTCCCTGTTCTTTATGCTGGTGACAGGCAGGCATCATGTAGTAGCTTTCCAAGCTCTGGCTTCAAAACTTGCCTCCTGATAATTCCTGAAATCTCAGGAGCCCAGACAGCAATGGTAAGAGAATGTCCTTCCTGCTGGATATGGCTTAGGCCTGAGAACAATAGAACTGCATGCCCCTGAGAAGGTGACAGACCCCCAGTTCCCTGCTCTGTGCTGCCTCTGAAAGAATAGCAGGGTTACTGAAGT